CACTGGTCTCCCTATTTATGTACAATACAAGGTGACCTCTGGTCCCCCTTGTGATATAAAAAAATAGAGTGACCTAAGGTCCTCATAATGATCTACAACATAGGGTGACCTCTGACCCCCTATTGATGTATAAGGTGACCTCCGTTTCCCCTTGTGATATACAATATAATCTGACGTCTGCTCTTGTACAGTACAAGGTGACCTATGGTCCCCTTTCTGTTGTACAATATAAAGGTGACCATTAGTCTCCACAATGAAATAAAATATAAGGTGACCTTTGGTCAACTAATTGATGTACAATATTAGTTTACCTCTAGTCCACCTAGTAACGAACGTTAAAACTGAACTGAAGGCTCTGTCCCCCTACTGATGTACAATAGTACAATATAAGGTGACCTCTGGTCCCCTACTGTTATCTCCTACTGATGTACAATATAAGGTGTCCTTTCGTCCCCCTAATGTTGTACAATAGAAGGTAACCCCTGGCCCCCCTACTGTTGTACAATATAAGGTGACCCCTGGTCCCCCTACAGTTGTACAATATAAGGTGACCCCTGGTCATCCTACTGATATACAATATAAGGTGATTTCTGGTCCCCCTACTGATGTTCCCTACTTATGTACAATATGAGGTGACCTCTGTTCCCCCTTCTGATGTGCATAAAAGGTGTCCTATGATCCCACTACTTATATACAATATAAGGTGCCCTTTTGTCCCCCTACTGGTGTACAAAATAAGATGTCACCTGGTCCCCCTACTGGTGTACAATGTAAGGTGTCCTCTGCCCCCCCTACTGATGTCCCCAACTTATGTACAATATAAGATGTCCCCTGGTCACCCTAATGTTGTACAATATAAGGTGTCCTCTGGTCCCCCTACTGATGTCCCCAACTTATGTACAATATAATATTGTCCCTGCTAACCCTGATGTTGTACAATATAAGGTGTCGTATGGTTCCCCTACTGATGTACAATATAAAGTCACCCCTGGTCCCCCTGCTGATGTATAATATAAAATGTCCCTTGGTCACCCTGCTGTTGTACAATATGTGTCCTATGACCCCCTCTACTGAGGTACAATATAAGATGACCCCTGGTCCCCCTGCTGATGTATAATATAAGGTGTCCTCTGGTCCCCCTACTGATGTTCAATATAAGGTGATCCCTGGTCCCCCTGCTGAATATAATAAGGCTGTATAATATAAGGTGTCCTCTGGCCCCCCCTACTGATATCCCCTACTAATGTACAATATAAGATGTCCCTGGTCACCCTGCTGTTGTACAATATAAGGTGTACCAGGTCCCCCAATTGATGTACAATATAAGATGACCCCTGGTCCCCCTGCTGATGTGTAATATAAGGTGTCCTCTGGTCCCCCTACTGATGTACAATATAAGGTGACCCCTGGTCCCCCTGCTGGTGTATAATATAAGGTGTCCTCTGTTCCCTCTACCTTGTACAAAATAAGGTGACCCCTGGTCCCCCTACTGATGTACAATATAAGATTACCCCTGGTATCCCTATTGAAGTACAATATAATGTGACCCCTGGTTCCACAACTGATGTACAATATAAGGTGTCCTTTGGTCCCCCTACTGATGTACAATATAAGGTGACCTCTGGTCCCCCTACTGATGTATAATATAAAATGACCTCTGGTCGGTCCCCCTACTGATGTCACCTACTTATGTACAATATAAAGTGACCTCTGGTCCCCCTCCTGATATACAATATGAGGTGACCCCTGGTCCCCCTAGGTGCCCTCTTGTCCCCCATACTGGTGTACAAAATAAGATGACCCCTGGTCCCCCTACTGATGTACAATATAAGGTACCCTCTGGTCCCCCTACTGATGTACAATACAGGGTTACCTCTGGTCCCCCTATTGATGTAAAGTGTAATATTAAGTGTCCTCTGGTCCCCTACTGATGTTCATTATAAGGTGACCCCTGGTCCCCCTACTGATGTTAAATATAAAGTGTCCTCTGGGTCCCCTTCTGATGTCCCCCTACTGATGTACAACATAAGGTGTCCTCTAGTCCCCCTACTGATGTACAATACAAGGTGATCTCTGGTCCCCCTACTGATGTACCATATAAGGTGACCCCTAGTCCCCCTACCAAGGTACGATAATGGTGTACTCTTGTCCCCCTACTGATGTACAATATAAGGTTACCTCTGGTCCCCCTATTGATATACAATATAAGGTGACCTCAAGTCCCCCTGCTGATGTCCCCTACTGATGTACAATATAAGGTGCCCTCTGGTCCCTCTATTGATCGAAAGTGTAATATTAGGTGTCCTCTTGTCCTCTATTGATGTTAAATATAAGGTGACAACAGGTCCCCCTTCTGATGTACTATATAAGGTGACCACTGGTCCCCGTACTGATGTCCCCCTACTGATGTACAATATAACGTGTTCTCTGGGCTCCCTACTGATGTACAAATAAGATGATTACTAGTCTCCCTACTGATTTAGAGTATAGGATAACTTTTGTTTCCCCTTTTTATGTAAAGTGCATTATAAGGTTTCCTCTGGTCCCCCTATTGTTATTCAATATAAGGTGACCTCTGGTCCCCCTACTTATGTACAATATAAGGTGATCCCTGGTCCCCCTACTGAAGTACAATATAAGGTATCCTATGGTCACCTACTGATATACAATATAAGCTTACCTCTGGTCCCCCTACTGATGTACAAAATAAGTTGGCCTCTGGTCCCCCATATAATGTAGAACAGAAGATGACATCTGGTCTCCCTTTTGATGTAAAATATAAGGTGACCTATGGTCGCCCTAAAGATGAACGATATAAAGTGACCTCTGGTCTTATCAACTTTTTATTACCTCTGGTATTCGCATAAAGATTATGGAAGCAAACGGAAGTCTTATATTGTCCATCAATAAGGATTTCATACTTCACAAATTGTAGTGTTTGAATGAGACAAAGATAATCTTATGTTGTACATTATTACGATGTTATTGAAAGTTGTAAGTAGGCAATAATTTAATATCATGGTATGTGTAGAATTATTTTCAAATCCTCTCAAAAAAAGAATTGCGACCCTAATTTTTTGACCGGGGAAAAAGTGCACAATTTCTCCGAATTCTCTAAATGTACATGTATTAATTGGAATTTGGAGGATTAGTCAACTTGCTTGTCTTCAAATACAGTATATATGTATCCCAAAGTTAAATAATAATTGGTGCATTTTTTAAATTTTATTTCCTTTTTTAATGTAGTTTTGATGGGTTTATGAATTTGATGTGTTAACTCCGGTGAAAGGGGAGGAGAACTCCATGCAGCCCCAAACTTTGCAATACATCTTCTTTGTAAGATAAATAAAAATCAGAGATTTCCGGCAAAGAGTGTTAATGTGATGAGGTCTCCTATTTAAGCATGACCTCATAAGGAAGAAAAAAGAGACATTAAATACTTTATTAACAAATAATTATTCCATTATGTTAAAGGATTGGTGAAAAGTCCGAGCGAAATGAAAAGGGGGTGGTAGGGGGCAAAATCTTCACCCCCCTCCCCCCTGCTTGTTAGAGATCTGCGAATGCAGAGACTGGACGTACATTGTTTACTCCGAGTCGCTTACTAATTAGTAAGGAGATCAGAGGTTATGCACTGCGTTATATAGATACTATAACCTTACATGGAATAATAAAAACATAAGGGAGACCACAGGTCACCCAACATATAACCCATGACAGTTAAACTGTAATATCATGACAGTTAAACTGTAATATATCATATATCTTATACTGATGCTCAGCAACCCCCTCCCCCTCTTTGTTTTATAATACCCATCACAAATGGTTATTCCCTTGACAAAAATAAGTTTTCTGTTGTTTTTTTTTACACTGAAAAGGCTTCACAGTATTACGATTTATTCTATTTTCACTTTACGTATGCAACGCACTACATTTTGTAGCGGAGTAAACAGACCCGAGAGTCGTGAACTGCGCGGGGGACCTAAGGTCCTAGTTCAGCGTACGTTTTATCCTTCTGCCCGTAAACTCCGACCAGCAGGTGCTCTGGGTGGTCGGAGATTTACGGAGACAGCCGAGGGTCTGGTTGAACGAGACTACGGAGATGACCGAGCGACAACCGTGTAGTAGGGTTAATGCCCGTAAAAAGCTAATTTAGAAATATAAAATCAAGAAATTCAAAAGAATTATACGGCCTGTTAAGTATAGATCTGTTTACTGTTTAAAATTGTTGCTAAAGACGGTAAGCTTTTTTGAAAAGCTCTACTTGTTCTTCTTTTAGAAATAACCATTCCTTTTAAATTGCTTTCAGAAAAAAAAGTGAGTAAAGTTAAAACTTACATTGAGAGATTGATTTCTCTGTTAAGTCTTCTAAAGTCCCCTTTATTTGCAGAGCAATAGATCGCCATGTAATCTGGGAACAATTGGAATCAGTGAAATTTTCAACATTCTTCTTCAAACATGAGACAAGGTTTAATATATAGCTGGAAAATATGCATATGGCATCAATGAAATGTTACAAGATTGTTCATGTAGTAAATAGAAAATAAAGAAGCGGTTTATTAAAAAAAAAAAACACGCAAACTGTTATGTTACATTGTAGCAATGGGTTAATATAAGCTTCATTCCTTATAATGTACACGATAAGATAATTTTCCCTCTAAGAATAGCTTCAAATTGAACATATTTAAAAAAACGGAGAAATACGTTTTTGACGTAACTCATTGTGACGTAGGCAACTTATGTTATACAAAAAAATTTATCTGATATCCAATCAACTGACAACTAAAATTAAAACATTTGGATATAAATCGCTGACCTACAGTATTCACTATCACTTGAGATATCAGGAACACACTGACTCCTTATTTCTTTTGTATAAAAAGATTGATTGAGACACGGGGTTTCTGAAAAAAAATATTTAAAAGATAAAAATGTTTAGGTTATCAAACTCATGTAACATTAAAAGAGTTTTTTCTTTCATTCTAATAGAAATAACTGACCGCACACTTCCACGCCACAGAGTTCCCAACGGACATCCGGGTTATTGGTAAAGCACCATGGCTCCTCTCTGTCGAAGTTACGACAGTAGTTCTCTTTTGCAAGACTAAACACATCATAGCCGTGTTCGTGAGGGCTCTGTTTATCCCATCTTTGACACGGTCTACCAGTTTCTGTTACGTTTTTGGTTCCTTGGTATAAAACTCCTGGCAATCGACAGTCATCTGAGATTGATTCTGCATTAATATCTTTAAGAACAAAACGTGTTAGCGAAAAAAGATCTTTATTGTACATTATTATGTTTTAATATTCCTGATATTAAAAATATATCATGAAAGAATAATACATAGATGTTCATATATTTTTCCTCAACGTAAACACGTATTCTTCCAACATCCTAAAATTTCACTTGCTTATTGTATTTTTTTCAAGCGGGTTTGGTTTTAAGTGTCCCTGTTCATGTAAATTGACACAGACCAAGCGTGTATTATGAAGACACCTGGTGCAAGTATACAGTTCAACGCACTTTTTAAACTCACGTTGTTTTTCGCACAAGTTAAGGTCACATTCTTATCATGCAAAATTGTGTAACGTGACAAAAAATATTTTTTAAAAGTGACTTATAACTTAATTTTTATTTTATGCTATTACTTAAAACATAATTCAAACATAATAATTGGTAAGATTTTATATACTCTTGGGTGATAGAATATGGCAGTTCCTAAATGCTTTTTCATGGTTTCTTGTCAATTGCAGCCGTTTTTGTATCCGTTCATTTCAAAGCATACATTTGCCTATGCTCATTGCAGAAAAAGTGCAGTTTGTGTAACATCTACATTTTCTGTACATGAATATGACACTAAGGCGCAAGATGAAAGAAGTATTTCTCATCTGTTTGACTGCTTTCCATGTTAAAAAGATGATATTTTTCAGGTTAACTTCTTGAAATCTAGGAACACGAAAGATATCTTCCAATGCAAAATGTCAAAGTTTTAGACCATCAATGTAAAAGGATTTTCTTTTTAATCCTAACACTTTACTAGTTTGAAAGATAAACAATACTTTATTACACTATCCTTTGACATAATTTTTTTATACAGTTTTGTCTTTTTTCGGTGCTGTATTTCGATAGAACCGTGACATGTATGGAAAATGTGCAAAGTACTTAAAAAATTACTCATCTGTAAGACTTTCAATCGGATCATGTTAACTAAACAATATAAAAGAAAGCGCGATAGATTAATTTGTAAAGACCAATAGTAGAATAATACACTTGTATCATCATACAATTTATAAACACGTTCCTTTTTTTAAAAAAAGGAGTTTCAAAACTTAAGGGAAGACAGGACACATGTCACATGACTAAAAAGACATATCACGTCATAATCGGTAATGATATATATGTTAAACGTTGTTAAAATCAACAGTTCTTGCGTAATTTTATTCTAAATTCGAAAATTATTTTTTAAACATTTTATTTTAGAAATTATTATTGATATTTTTTAAAAAGATCTTGCCATCATTTAGATATTGTGAAGTTGCCCAATCCACACATTTGTTTCTCACTACCCTGTATTCTGACATCAGTGACGTCATAGACGTAGTGTTTGAATTCTCAGTGCAGCGAGATCAAGTACACACACCCGTCATGATCAGTTTTATTTCATTATAAACAGGTCACAGTCCATGTATCGTGATAAATTTCTGAAGCAGATTTTTTTTAAAATTAATATTTTTTCGTGTTTAGTAGCAGATATTCAATCTATTTAGATAATTTTGAATGTTAACATTTTCGTGTGACGTCACAATTGATTTCCCGCACTCGTAGAATACAAACGTGAAGCGTTTTTATCATGCTTCCGTCTAATTCAACGATGTCTTCTGCGATATGGAGGTTAGCTTCACCCTGTGATATTTATGCAGTAAATAATTACGATAAAGGGCTAACATTCAATCGTAAATTTAGAAACATTTATTGACAGAATTTTTTTTCCAAATGAGGTTTTTGTCGTTGAAGCTGCCTTGAAAAATGCAGAAATTATCCCACCCAAATACTATATGAAATTAAAACAATTGCTTTTAGATAATATAAACACTATGAATAGTCTGAAATATTTGATCATATAGTGCATAAAAATTCGCATTATGGACTCCGTTATGGGCCCGTAAACATGAAGTATCTAAACTCCATACAAACTCTAAACAGGGGGGTATTTATGGGGCGATATCTTTTAAATCAGTCAAGAAATCCAATGATACATGTAGGACCGTTTTAAAATGTTAAGTACATATTAAATTAGTAATATGAAAAATACGAAAAAAAAAATCATTGACAGGAATTTTTTCAGCTAGTGGTCCTGTTCCTCCTTAACATAACGAATTTAGAGAATATACACCATTAACATAAAATATTTAATAATATAAGGGTTAAGTCTCGTACTGAAGCTCGCTTATTTTAAGTTTTATAGTGAGAAAAATGATATCTTAATTTGTGCGATAAACCATGCGAGTTTAAAAAGTGCGGTGAGCTGTATACTTATACTGTATTTCCGATGCACTATCTGTCACTTGTTCTTCAACCACACTGTGCTCTACATTTCAGCAGAGTGGTTATTATTATCAGAACATAAGCTAGCTATAAGTATGGAATATTTTGAATAAAATGAATAGGATTTCCCTTTGAACACATTGAACATTGGCATTGAACATTGGGGATAAGGTTTAGCCCCCCCCCCAAAAAAAAAAAAATTAAATAGTTACAGTACTGTGCAGAGTACCCGCACGAAAGCCAAAAGTCCCCCTTTCAATTTGATTCCGAAGCCAATGAAATCTTATACCGTATAAGTGGAAATTTTAGCGAGACGCAAATTTAGCGATTTGTCCTTAAAAACTGGTATTTTATTTTTAGCGAGATGTTATTTCAGCGATTTAAAAATGTTCATTAAAGAACCTATTACAAATAAAACGCAATCAATTTTTAGCGAGATGTAAATTTAGCGATCTTAGCACCCTCGCTAATAATGCCAAAATTAAATCCTCGCTAAAATTTCTACTTATACGGTACTCTTATGAGCAGTTAAGTCGCTTTAATTTATAAGAAATAATTGTAGATACTTCAAGGAGACCTGGGGTGAATGCATCCAAAAGTAAAGCAGACAATTGCGTGCTTTTACAAATTCAATGCAAAATAGTTTTATTCTTTTTCCTTTAACCTTGGAATTTAGGACCAAGAGAAATAAACTTTAAGGGGGCCGACTATAGTTTTATTGTGTAAAAACTACAATAGCGAAACTCTTCATTTTTATACCATCTATAACTTACATTATCTACAGTGTATATGCAAAGTTTGGGGAAAATCTACCTCCGGGTATTTTTGAGGGACCGTCTCAAAATACAGGTACATTTACTATAGGATTATATAGGAAAATGCCAATTTTTAGCACTTTAAAGCAAATAATACAAATACTACAATAGACATTTTGTTCAAACTATAATATTTGATGAGTAATGCTATATTGTACAATATATGTAAGAAACACAAAATTCTACCGTCTTGTTACCAGAGGGGGCATCTCAAAATGTAAAAAATTAGCAAATTTTACTATTTTTATAAAGTACTACAAAAATATGACGTACACAATGGATTCACATGAAAATATAATGAAAATATTGGAGATATTCTCAAATTTCTATGTTTTAAATTTCAAGAGCGTATGTTGATTACTTTTTCTTTAATAATACTTTTATTACCCCTTTCTTTAAGAGGTATAGATTATCATAACGTCAAAAACACACTGCAACGACGTCAACCTACCTATCAGTTGCAAAATCGGATAAAAAATCAGTTATATCGAATTTTGTTATATTTTATATAGCTATAATTTCTTAATTTTGTTTAATATTAATAATGAGAAAAGGGGATGTTAATAATGTTCATGCATTTCCTATATGTAATATTTTTTTCCTGTAAAATGAATATTACTAATATATTTTATGCACATCTGTTTAGAGCAATTGTCAATTTGTTATAATTTTAACTTCTATTAAATCTGTAGGTACATATATGTCATAAACCTTGCATGTTCTTCGAAAATATCCAAAGCTTAGAAAAGGTTTTACAAAAATGTGTATCTTTCATGTAAATAATATATTATGACATTTGAAATTGATGCATTTCATATCATATAAAAATTGCTATTCAAACTATTATGAATTCTTTGCAGTTAAAAAAATGTTTATTAGGTTTGAAGCTTCTTTTAACCTAAAAAGTATGTTATACGATATAACATAACTTGGGGCAGTTAAGCCGTTTATAAAGAAAAACGTAAACTGCCCTAAGTAATGTTATATTGTATAACATATCAATAGGTTAAAATAAGTTTCATTCCTGATTTAATTTCAGTGTATACGTTATTTCCTCTGAAAATGGCTTTACATTGTGCGTATTTTAAAAAGTAGCGTCAAGATGAATAATACGTATTTGACCTAACTCATTGCAACGTATCCAAAGTATGTTATACCATATAGAGTAAATCTTTTATCAATAAATGACGTGTTATTTATTAAATTTTAAAATTATACATGTGAATTATTCACTTTATGCAATACCAAATTTCATAATTGGAAATATCTATAAACATATCATTGTAAAAGTTAACTATAATGTACCGGTAGTATGGGAACGTGTCTGATTATAAATGAGATAACTTTTTCCTACAACAAAATCGCAATTCTTTTATTTATGAGAGGAGGGGGAGACCTTTCGAATTATTTAAAAGGTTTATTACATTACAGATCCATTGATTTTCCCTGTATTCTATAGACATTGAGTAATCTTTTGACGATACACTCGACATAAATTGATAATCAATGTTTTAATTAACAATCACGATATTTATTGTGAAATCATATACCTTACAAACATTTTAATCAATCAATCTTCTAATCAAAGAAAGTTTGCAGGACTATAAATTTTATTTTACTTTTTTTCCCCTTTCATTGCAAGGACCAGGGGCCCGTTTCACAAAACTATCTTATGACTAAGATCTGTCTTAATACCGAAAATTATCGTAAGATTGCACCATAGCCGTTTCACGAAACTGTCATATCTTATGATAATCTTAAGCCCTAACTCCAAATCTCCTAAGACCCAAGATACATCAACTGACAAAGTTTGATGATTCTTAGCCAGATAGGACTGAAGATATTTCAATATAACTATAAAATACATGTACAATAAGTAGGTCACTGTGCTAGATCTATCATAATCTTATAATAACTAAATACATGTCTTA